GCGGGCGGGTGAGGAGAGGTCTGCCGCGCCATGTGGTCGCCTCCGGGGCAGGCGGGAATCGAACTCATGCGGAGGTGGCTTTAGTTTCTCAGTACAGTGCTTTAACCCGCTGCGCCAACAGGGAGGGCCCTATTCCACATTTTGATCTTATGAATCTTATGTATGTTTCACTGTCACCGATATGTTACCCCAAGGAATCTCTGCAGAGTACTAAAGATCAAATAGCAGAAGGGAAAGTAGTTGAAGACCTAGCAAGACAACAGGCCTAAGTATAAGTCATGGTAGAAGGACATAGAGTAAGACTGACTTTTTAAGTGAGATTGCTGCCTTCTAAAAACACCAGGTAAGCCACCACCCCTGAGGCAGCTGAGATGGCCGTGGCTGTGCTAGGCAAAACATAGTGGAAAGCAGAGAGAGGTAGGATGTTTTTGAATGAGGGTTTATTATTTTTTTAGGCTATTTTTTTAAAAAGATGTATTGATTTATGCTTACAGAGCTGGGGTATAGGCCAGAGGTGTGGTGGGTGAGAGGATTCACCAGAGACAGAGTGGGGAGCAGAACAGGCAGATTGACAAAGTACATTGCTGAGGGGAGCAGTGGAGAGGCCAGGAGAGGTCTGCAGGGCCGTGTGGGTCAGCTCCCTGGTCGGGGATTGAACTCAAGCTCTAGTGGCTTCGGAAAGCTTCATAATGATGTGCTTTAACCTGATGCACCACCAGAGAGAGCCCTAAATGAGGGTTGTAAATTCATTTATTACTTTCTTCCTTTCTTTCCTTATTCCTTTGCTTTCTTTCCTTATTTCTTTATCCTTTCTTCCTTCCTACCATTCTCCCTTCCTTTTCTTCTATAACTTCCATACTATAACCTGTGTACTCTCCTAGGTTGTTAACAGCAATGAATAATACCGTCCCCATACCATCATGAAGCTTATTTTCTGGTAGAAGAGAAAGATAATAAATAAGTCAATGAATAATGTGTAATGTCAAGAAGGAACCATTTTATTGAACTTATGAGGGACAAAATGAGCAAAGGGTCTAATGATTCCTCAAATAATTAAATATAGAATTACCATGTGATCCACAATTTCCACTTCTGAGTAATATATCCTTTAATTTGAAAGAGTTCACTAGATATTGTGCACGCAGATTTATAACAGCATCAATGGAGACAACCAAAAGATAATAGTAACCCATCAAGGCCCATCAGTGGATGAATTGATAAACAAAATGTGGTGTATACATACAATGGAATATTATTCAGCCTTAAATAGGAAGGAAATTTTTATACATTATAAAATTAGTGAACCTTGAAAATATTATGCTAAGTGAAGTAAGTCAAATATTGTATGATTCTAATTATACAAGCTGTCAAATTCTAGAGAGAGAAAGTAGAATAGTGGTTTCTAGGGACTAGGGAGAGGAAAAAATGAAGTTACCATTTAGTGGGTAAAGTTTCAGTTTGGACAGATGAAAAGTTCTGGAAATGGATTATAGTGGTGGATGAATACTCATGTGGATATACTTAATGACACCAAATTGTACACTTCAAAATGGCTGAAATGGTAAATGTTAATTTTAGAAATATACATACGTTGTGTATGTGTATATTATTATTATTATTATTATTATTATTATTATTATTATTATTATTATTGGTATTGGTATTATTTTGAGAAGGTAGGAATCTTACTTAAAAAGTCAGTCTTCTCTATGTCATTCTACCATGACTTATACTTAGGCTTGATGTCTTGTTAAGTCTTCAACTACTTTCCCTTCCGCTATTTGACCTTCAATACTCTGCAGAGATTCCTCGAGGATAAAATATCGGTGATAGTCAAACATGAATAACATATTCACATATATATATATACACATATATACACACACACATGAATACTGTGTGTGTGTACACACATATAAATGTGTATATGTATATAAACAGATTTATTTAAGTGTTTAAAAAAATATGCTGGGATAAAAGGGAGAATGATTTATTTAGGATTGTCTAGAAAAACTCCTCTCAGAAAGAGATGTCATTTGAATAGATGTTAACCAGAGATGAGAAGATGGCAACATTGGGGAGAAATTTGGGATTTTGTGCCAAGTACAGCAGAATACCTTTGGAAGGTTTTGCTCTGTTAAATAACATGATTAGCTTATCATTTACAAAAGCATACTGACTGCTACATAGAAAGTAAGCCGAAAGGGAGGAAGCTTGGAAGCACAAGTCCAGTTGAGACTAAGGCTGTTGCGAGGCAAGTGGAATAATGATGGTGAGGTGATGCGGGAGGTGGTGAAAGTGGTTGGGTTGGGAAATATTTCCTAAGCAAGCCATCATAACTTACCAATGGGCTTGTTGTGGGGTGTGAGGAAAAGAGATACATCCAGAACGATAGCTCACTTTTTAATAGAAGAGCTGAGGAAATGTAGGTAACATCCAAAGAGAAGGGAATAACTGGGAGAAAAGCTAGTTTGGCAAAGGCCAGAGGAATAGGAAAGGAACAAAAGATGCTTTATATAAAATATGAAACCGTAAATTCTAACAGAATGCTAACACACAGAAATATTTGCTAAATGAAGGATGGATGAATGGATGGATGGATGAAACTTAATGGATAAATGGAAGAAAAGCAGATGGGAGAAGTCAAATGCATTCTAAACCTTAGAAAATGTAAAGAACATTTTACAACTGAAATGATCATGATGACGCTAAGCTGGAATTTGGGAGAACTGAATTCAGTCTCAGAAAATATTTCAAACCTCAGGTTTCTTCTTTCAGCTTTTACTCTGGCCCTCACCATCTTTCCTCCTCCAAACATCCACCCAGGAAACCCAGAGCCCTCGCCTCCCTGTGCAGAAATGCAGAGCACAGCCCAGAGGCAGAGAGCTAAGCAGTAAACGCCCCCATTTTTGCAGGCCCCAGCCGGGCCTCTCCCCAGGCACAGACCTAGCGCAGGCAGCAGACCTAATGCAGCAGACCTCTCTCTCCTCAGCGCAGCCAACTTCCCTTAAAGTGGTTCCTCAGTGTCACCTTTTAAGGCATGGTTTGAGCAAGCAGGAGACAAGACAAGCTGGACTTGTGTTGACTGAGCCTGCTGTTCCTGAACCTGCACACAAAGGGGCTCCCAACAATTCGTGGGAAGAAAACATTGTAAGTCACAGCAGGGGAAGAACAATGCTAAAGGAGGCAGTCCTGTCAGGCAGCGCTGTGTCTCCACTTCATGCACTAACCTCTCTGTACGGGTTCTCCCACAGGACTGAGGGCACAGAGTCTGCCTCCAGCATCTGTCTTGCCTGTTTCTCTTTCGGCCAAGACTATCCTGCCGACGGCCACCTGGACCAGCTCTCTGCAAAGACTTCCAGCCTCCCCTACCAGTGGCACGCCCAGCAACTCGGTGCTTCCCATCACAACAGCGGTGCAGACTTCTCCCTTCCCCAAGAACGCATCCATAGAACCCAGAAAAGTGGAGGCCACCACTGCAGTCTCAAAACAGGTGGTCACAAGCACAGACTCCTCGCCCACAAGCAGTGGAGTCCAGTTAACACACACATCCGTGGAGCACAGCCCCAGCACGCCCGAGCCCAGTGTGCCAACTGCCAGATCACAGTCCTCTACTGTATCCCCCACAGTCACCATCTCTCAGGCTCCAGCCTCCTCACCACTACCAACCACACCCCCAGAGGTGTCTTCTGCCTCCATCAGCACCAACCACAGCTCTGCTGAGAACAGCACCCAGCCCACAGAAGTCCCGGCCACACCAAAGTCCACAACAGAGGGGCACTGGTCTGACCACGTGCCCTCTACACCCACCTCTGCTGAGCCAGCGCCCGCAGAGACAACACCCCCAACCACCGTGTCAAGTGTAGTGACCTGTGGGGTGAAAGAGGTCGAGATCACTACAGCGTCCCCTGGGGTGATCATGCAGGAAGTGGAGCACGCACTGAGTTCAGGTGAGACTCGCCTAGACATCCCGGGAACCAAACACCAGTGATGAAGTTTGCATGTTGGAGTACAGTGCCTGAGCTGGATTCAAGTTCACAAGAATTCTTGTGAATGATAATTCAGTTCACTAGTCCACTTAATAATTTCCACATGGCAATTTCACAATGTCAGCTGTAGCCATTGGCTAGCTTTGTGGTTTGTCTTCTTATGTGTCACACACAGGGATGTGCACAGTGGAGAACATATAACAAAGGGACTGTCCGTGTGACTTCTGGTCATATGTCCTATATTTGATTCTGATTCCTGACCTAGAGCAAGTTGCTTTATTTTGTGCCCTTATTTTTCCTCAGCTGCAAAATGGGCATAAAACCAGTTCTGTCACATATGGTTCTTATGAAGATGAAATGAGATGATATATAGTGTGCTTAGAACAGTTCCTAGCAGGGAATAAGTTCTTAGGGAATATTAGTTGCTGTCATTACTTTACTCCATGTGTTCAGGAAGAGTTTACCTCACAGAAACTAGCCAAGAATGTCAGGTAGAGGTATAGAGAATGTGCTTCTTCTTTATAGCTCAATATATTCGTGGGAAAGACATAAATTGCACAGGACATGGTTTTTGCTTTCATTCTCTCAACAATTCTGTGAAGCCAGTCACTTTTTTTCCCCCTTGATTTTACAATCTTGAAAATTACAGGAGAAATGTAGGGTTCTTACTGAAGTCACATCTATCTGACACTGACATGAAGACTATAAACAATAGAGTGTTAGACAGGAAATGGTTTTAATGGGAGCATTTGTCCTCTTGACTGAGAAAGAGAGAGAGAGAACAGCCAGAGGGGAGAGTACAGTAAGAAGAGAAAATGAGGCTGTGGTCCTCCTGTGCCCCACCAGAGATGCTGGCTAAGAGGGGAATATTCGGTATAGAGCCAGACATGACAACCATGATGGAATTAACATATTTTAATAATGAATAATTAGCCACTCTGAAATCTATTAGATGGTGGTGATGGGGAGACAGAACTGAGATATAACAAAAACTTGTTTTCTCACAGAAGACCTCACAGTTTACTTGAGGTCCCAAAGAATGACAACTTCCTTTTCAAAGCCCCACTCTGTCATTGCAAGTCCCAGCAAGAGAGATACAAACAAACTGGGCTAAGGAATCTCAAGATTTATGACCAGAATATAGGGAGACCCCAAGGATCATCATAGCATAACAGCTGACAAGTCAGGCCTAGTCGCCAGTCAGACTAGTAGCCAGTCCCAGAAGGGCATGCTGTAAGATGGAACACATTATAAGGACAGTGATGTTTGGTTGAGGAACATAACTGAACCAGGTTAACCTCCTGGTAGTAAAGGGAGTGAATATTCTGCCCTTGTTCTCCCCTCAACTGGTTGCACTGCCACAAGTCAAAACACCTGGCACTGTATAGTCATAAGGTCACCCCTGGAGGCAGTCACAGAGCAAAGTGAAAGGTGAAAAATAGATCCAGGGAAGGAAGAAGAAATCTGGCACACCTAGTTCCAAAGGTGATTGCTCTGTGTAGCACCTGTTGGTATTCAACCAGCATTATCACTGCAATAGAGGCATTTTCTGTCTGTCTCTAGTCTAGCTCCTAAGCCCCCATTTCCCACATATTTTCCATGCTCCCAGCATGCAGGTCATATCTCCAGCATAGATCACTTACCCAAAACCGAGAGGGGTTGACTTGGCAAGTGTCTTAAGGACGGTCCCCAAACAAAAGTGCCAGTTTCACATAGTAGCCCCATTTCTCCTCTTTCCCGGCTCAGGCCCTCACCATCACCATCACTGCTTCAGTTCTCTTACTTCTCCTTCTCTCCACCCCTTGCCCCCTCCAGGATACTATAGACATTGGGGAGAGGGGGTAATATTCCTGAACCCAAATTCTAAGCTTAGCATGCAAGAATCTCATAATCTACCACTACTTACTACTTCCTAAAGGTGACCAAATTTCATGGGTTAGATTATCCAAAATAGCCCAGGTCCAGTTTTCAAGACTGTGTCCTGATCTTCTCCACACTAAGTAAGTAAGGTCCACAGGCACAAAATTAGTTTCAGAGCTGGATGAACCTTTAGAGTTCTCAGGAATATTGTAGAGAAAGGGCCAGAATAAATTAATAAAAGGATGGTTGAATGACTGAGAAGAGAGAGGTGTAGCATGTTAAAAGATTACCAAGGATAGATCAGTATATTTCATGGACCCAAGAGGATTTATTCTCTGTCATCTATTAAATCAGAAAATTCTTAATGTGTATCTACTTCATGTATCCCTTGGTGTGTAATCTGAGAAGGAATGCAGGTAGCAAATGTTATACAATCTGTTATTTCAAGGGTGGAGAAATTATGTCCCAAAGTTTGCAGTGCCTTCCCCAAGGTTACTCCTTTCAGTGCAGCGCTGGGCCCAGAGCCCAGATCCTTAACACCATCAAGCCTTCCTGGACCAACACTGGTCCTTTATCAGCCCCATGGACCAAGCAGTACCCCATGAGACTGCACTCACAGCGGACTATTCTGGGATGTTCTTAGAGAAGCATGTGCTGCCTTCATTATGGCAGTAGTAGTACCACACTTTATCAATTTCTTATTCTATGTGGGTTCACGCAGTATAGTTTCTTAATATAAGGACACATCTATTCATACTCAGCCATGAATAACCCCAAAACAAAGCAAATGCTGTAGTAGTTATCCTGAGTAGAGAAATTAGGGAAGGGGTCTAAATGGCAACATGTGGAGGAGATGAAAAGGATTTGGGCCTGGGTAGAGACAGGACCAAGGAAGTCAAGGAACTGTATGCAAAGGTAGAGAGCCAGGAGCACACTAACTAAGGTTGCACCCATCTGGGTTCACAATCCACCTAGCAGTGTAAGCACTAGAACTCCTGTTTAGAGGTGTCTGAGGCCCTACAAATGGCCAGCTCTAGGGGTTAAACCTTAGGCCTGACATGACCTGACCTATCAGCAAATTGGACAGGCTGGTCTCTGCTCGTATCCTTAAAACACTGGCTCCTCTTGATCTCCAGGACATGGAGTCTCTCTTGGTTCTTTTCTTTCCTGATTGTCCTCTCCTTCTCTGTCTCTGTTACCCAACTCCACCCCCATTTCCTAGCACAAGAGTACCCCAGATCTAGAGCCAGCTGTTAGGTCAGCTCAACCTCTCCACACTCAACTCCTGAGACGATCTCATCCCATCTCCACTTAAAATCTCTTCCTTATGTTGATAACCCTGAGATGGAAAATTCTACTTTATTTTGTTTCATTGAACAAGTATATCCATCCACCAACTCATGCTTTCCATGCAAAGAGCTAGAAGGTGTCTTTGATTTTTACTCCTCAAGCCAAAAACCTTGGACTAATCCTACATTCCTTTCTCACCTTCTCAATAGCCAAATCCCTTAATCAAAACCCCATTTCCTCTCTTCTCACCCAGAACTTTCTCACATGTATGACTTTAACACAGGGATCTCCCCTAATCTGCATTTGCCTTTATCTCAGTAACCCGCCATCAACCTTGGTCCAAAGATAATGCCTACAAAATACTTTAAAGAGATAGAGACAATATTCACACCATGTTTATTGCAGTTCATTGTTACAATCATTTAAATTCATTATCAGTTATTGTTATAAACATCTTGCCTTTCCTAATGTATGTTAGAATTCATCAGAGGTTTGTATATTTAGGATAAAATACATCCTCATAGGGTTTTATTGCAGATGTCCACTTGGAGATATACCTCCTATGGGTAAGGGATAAGAAAGATCCTCTTAAAATTGAGGACAGATTCTGTCACTCTGGGCTCTAACACTCCGGTTACTTTCCCTCTGAGTGAGAGCAAAATCCATACCATGCCTACACAACTCAGGATAGTCTCAGCACCTCTCTCCTCACCCCTTCTTCTACTTCCACCCACAAGCACACAGAATCTGATTGTTTTGGGAGCACAGGAGGTCACTTTCCTCAGGGTCTTTGCACATACCCTTTCTCAAGCCATCAGTTGTCAGCTCCTCCTTACACCTAATCTTTTACTCCTTTACTCAGCTGCATTATCTGAAATATTAGTCCTGTCACCCGTGATCCGTTTACCTTCTTTTATTTTCTTTTTGATCTCTTATCTCTAGCTGGCATTTATTTTGTGAATGAATTTCTATTTTATGCACCTAAATTATCAGCTCCATGAAACTAAGGACCTGGTTCATAGAGAAAGAAGCAGGTTACATCCACACCCCCTACAATAGAGCCTGTCACTCGGAGACAGTCAGTGATATTTGTGGAATAAATGAATAAGTCAATCAACCAGTACCAGGGAAGCTATTTAATCTTGCTGAGCCTTCTCATCAGTAAGAATGAATAAGGATAGCATGGTACATGAGGGAGTTGTTAAAAGGTTTACTTCACATAATAAATTTGCAATGTAGTGCTATTGAACAATGACTCACTGATGCCTATGATCACTATTACACTATTATTTACTACTACCAGCATTATAGTTATTGCTATTTTGCTATCATGATACTATTATTACCACACTTATCATAATGAAGCATGCCTGCCATCTTCACTGAACTTTTGTAGAGATTTTACTAGGAGTCAAAAATATATCTAATCACTGCTGATTTCACCATGAAAAAGACAGTGAAGTCAATAATCTCATAGATTTTAGAATGTAACATGTACATAGTAGGCAAGAAACCTAGTTTGTCAGATCTCAGACTGTGTGAGAGAAACAGGGGGGGAAATTAGGAAAGTATTAGAAGACCTGAGTAGCAGGATGAGATGCTTAAATGATTTAAATAACTGCCAGGCCATCGATAGTCTTCAAGGGCTTATGCTAGAGCAAGAGTATGTTGAGAGTTATATTTTAAGTGGGCAGCTAGTAGGAATATGTATTGTAAGGAGTTCAATAGGAATGTTGACCCCTGGATTCTAATTTCTGGTTTGCCATTGCCAATGATGGGCCATGTCAATTAACAGCTTTAAGGACTCTTTG